AGGCTTTATAAGCAAGTTGAACAATGCAATAATCTAAGTGTGATGTTTTGACATGAGATGTTATGTGAGTTAGGTAAGAAGTAAGCCATAGACTTTGTGAAGATTCTTTCCTGTTGAGTGTAAATCTTTGAGAAACCACTGTTCACTTCAACACTCTAACCCATGTCACACATTGTGGATAGTTATGACTTCAATTTACACAACATCCATGATGATTAAGGCATATCCTGTAACAAAATACTAATGAAGGCACGAATTTGGTGTGGAAACATCCTTCCCCCTCCCTATGTGATTAACATTGATAATGTCTACAGATGCTTCTTTTTTTCGAAGAGTAGGACAAATAAACATTCTAAAAAAGTAAAAGTACTCGAGAAACACACCACAAAACACAGGAAAACGGACTTATAAACCACACTGAAAACAAAAACAACAACAACGAAACATGACGACGACACAGAGTAGTGGTACACCAATAACCGTCGGTCAGCTCATCTTACTTATCGAGTTACACATACACCTGAACAACAGCTGAATAAAATGATACAAAAGATTATTCCAAATAAAGAACACTGAAATAAATATGCAAAGAGATTTCACTTTCATATAAAACAGGATAATGCATAAATGAATAATCTCCATTAGGCTCATATCAACTATGCACAACAGTACTTATAATTTAGAATCATAAATAACTAATAGTGCTGTTATTCTGTTTTGTACCTAGGCATTGAAAAAGTCCAGTTTAAATATGAATGGATTTCGTGGTGTACACCGATGTGTTCACAGATGATTTTTAAAATTATACTACAGAAAATTTCATTGACTCATGAAGCCATGTTTTGGTTTGACTACCATTAGCTAACTCCTTTCTAACCAGATCTATCCTATGTCAGTAAGCTAATATTGTCCATCGGTCGAGGAAGGCAATCGATGGCTAGGCATCCATGCGTAACACATGTCTTAACCAGTGCAAGCAGTGTAAATTCACAAACACCTTGTCGATTGATTTCCCCTTCCACCAACCTCGCACTCGACCACCGATGACTAACCTCAATATTACTCAACCTATTACACCACCACCTAACACACACGGGAGATAGAGCTGCCTAGTCATGTCTTTCACTTTCAATGGCCATGTCTCACTCACAGCCATAAAGGAGGACGGAGAGGACTGCTAAGCCAATAAACACGTCCTTTGCTTGATAGCCAGCCAGTCGGATATCACATCTACTAAGCCAGAGATGGCGTATGTTGGCATATGCGACATGAGCCTTCTGTATTCGTCCTGAGATTTCGTCAGCGATCAACGTGCTGATGTTAGATGATGCGACTTCCCAAATAAGTAAAGTGGTCAACACGATCCACCAACCACTTCAACACCTCTCTATCTTTAAGCTAGGAGTCAGTTCAGTCCCGTAGCATCATTTTACATTTCACAGCAGGAGTGAATCGTATGCCAAACATTCGAAGATTGCTCACTGCTCGAGGTGTTCAGAAGACTCTGCATTTTGTCAACTTCTTCACCTAGAAGGACTATATCATCTGCATATTCTGAGTCACCTAAATTATTCTCTGGTAACAAGTCAATGCCTGAGTGTCTGAAATCAGTGAGGGCTCAGTGAGGGGATAGTAGCCATTCCTGACTGACACCCGTATTTGTCACCACTTCAGATGACAACTGGCTGTATGTTCCCACCTGGCTGACCGCATAAATTCGAGTAGAGTGCCTTGTTCAGTGCAATGTATTTTCTCGGCATTCCCTTAACAGCCAAACATCACCATAGTACCTTTCGGTCGATGGAATCAATTGCCACCTTCAGGTCAAGAAATACAGCGATTGTTGGACGCCTGCATTGAGCGCGATGTCATGCGACGCCTTCCTTAGTAGCACATGCCTTATCCATCTCCATTTTCTTTGACATATTTTCTGAGAAATCAGCTCTCACCTGTTGGTTTGTTGCCAGTCACAGTTTCTTGTTGCTGATTCCTTATAGCCACCTGCCCGGCCTGCCATTTGATCTTTAGTATGGAGTCATCCAGCGAAATGGGCAGCTGTTGACAAAAGTTTGCAACTTGTTGGAAATACGTTTCGTGACACGCAATGCAAGTTTTTGACCTATATAGAAGAATCGACTGACCCTTCACATTTGTGTTGAACAGAATCATAATCTTGTTGTTTATGTTGTAGCGGATAGCAGAAGATTTCCGAACTGGTTTCAGATTGATGAAGGAGTATCTCGCCTTTCCGATTCTTGTTGGCTGGCTTTGATATCTTCATCCGTTCAGCAGGTCTGTGATTGAAACCCTGCTTCCTAGCCAGATAAATGATGACAGGAAGTAACCTTTGTCAAATCTCTCACGTTGATGGTGGTTGGTACTGGTTGTTGTTGTTGCTTAGTTCTCATTAACTTTCCACCAGTTTTTATCTTTTTGACCATTATGTTTTCCAGAACAAATTTCTTTAATCTTTAATTATAGTACTACGTTTTGTCATTCTCTCTCTTTACTCTGCGATGTTCTTTTATCATCACTCAGATGTACAAATAGGAGAGTAATTTTTGCAAAGGTGATGGAAATTTCCTAGAAACAGTATTTACCCAGAAACGTTTCACTCTTAATTTCAATCTTGATCGGTAATAGCTGTTTATTCTGTTTAATTAGTGCCTGACCTCTTGGTCCTCGATGCCTGTACACCGGTTAACTTAGTTTTTTCTTTTCATCTAATGAGTTGTCGTTTTGACCTCCTTCCTGAATAGTTCCAACCCTGTCGCTCATCTCACCTGACATTTTTCCTGTTTCTATTTTATCGTTTGAAGGTGTTTTAGAATTTTGAATATCCTGATGTGTTCTTCCAGTAGAATTTAACTTATTTAAGAAAGAGGTGGGAGTAAAGACCTTGGGTGTATATCTCATAACTTCCAAACTTATCACTTGGATGTACCATCATATCACTGAGTTCAGCAATTATGTGAAGGTACTTTGTATTGTCGATGGTAATAAATATGTCTACGTAACTTTATTTATGAGAAATAAAGGACAAAACAAGATGACAGATGTTTATTTCGTGTAGGATTGTTGTAGTGAAGATGACTGACAGGAGACAAAACTGATTCAACAAATAAGGCTAATACTAGAAAAGACCTATCAAAAGCTCAGTCCAAAGTATTCAGTAAATTTCAAGTTGATTTTACTGAAATTACCTGGGAAAAACTTGTAACTTGCAAAAGCTTCAAAGAAAAAGTCCTTTGGTCAATGAATATTTAGCCTTATTTCACTCCTCGCCTTCCAATTGGAATATGGGACATTGAAGCATTGAGCTTTAAAGTCTCACCAATAGTGTTGTTTTAACAACGTGAACTTTCTAGACCCACGTCTCATCATCTCCCTCTTTTTCGGTTTCACTACCAGCTAGGTGAGGATGAGGAGTACACCGGCTGCGAACCGAACCTGAACCTCCGGTGTGGCTTATGAACGAACATTCTACCACGGAACCGACAACTCACAAGTGTTCAGTTTAAAACTTTTTTAAATTACGAATTTCGATTGAAGTATCACATATCAATTCTGTAAACAAGATGATCGGGATTTCGACTTATAGAGTCGGGGTGAATTTGAAATAATTTGAAATGTGATTTCTACAACTACACTCACAAGTTGATAAGAGACAATTTGACAAATATGTGATTACTATCATAAATAAAATGTCCATAGACAGAATAACGAAAAGTAGGAGACAGGAAATTATTTAGAGGTGGGGGGATAATAATATCAGCAAAACATTTACTGACATCTTCAACAAGACTGTGTCGCCTTTTACGGAAAAATGATACTGTTGATGAACAAATTTGCTTACCTATGCTATTTTCATCTCAACTATTAGCCACATTAACGAAATGGTCACTAAGCCTGTTGACTGCTCACCACGCTTACTGCATAAACCTTTGCAGTGAACTTGGTGTCATCATTTTTATGGTTGTTGCCTTGTTGAGTCCCCCCGATATTGATGGATGTTGTTTCGCCATCAATCGAGCATTTTTAAAATAGCCTTTGAAATTTTACAATGAATTCTGTAGACTACTTACTAATTGTTGCTTCTTTCTGGTTTCTCAGAATACGTTTCACTCTACGGAAGGCCTACAGTCAGGTGTTTTAATTATTATTATTATCATTACTATTATGGTTATGGTTACAATAATATTTATAGTACCACTTAAAATATTTTCTAAATAAATTGTCTCCAAACTTTCAATTGTATTTGGGATTTTAGCAGTGTCACTTAGCACGATGCAGTTACCGCCAATTGATACTGTAAGCCAGATAAGCTAATAAGATTTTCCTATTAAAAAGTGTTTTGATTGCATATAGGACAGTATTATCATTGTAAGGATTGCAGTTGAAATAGAAAGCAAACTAGTGTGGTGTTGTCATAAGATATACCATTACTGCCATATAACTCTACAGTACTATTCGCTGTATGAAGCCTTATAATATTTAAAACTTTTATTCCTGTACAGCAATGTGTAGATTATCACTTATGAAGTGAGTCTCAGCTATGGAATGCTTTGGACCGCATTCCGTATTTCACTCTCCGTCACAGTGTAACACTTGCCTGCATTAATTGATATTAGATAACAGAAATAAGAAAGGAACTCTTTGCTATATGCATATATATAATATCTATTATACTACTAAGTAACTGTTTTCAGTAATTTGGAAAATTTTTCCACATCAGACACTAATACACTTCAAAATATTTAAAACCTAAAGGTCTATATTTACAAACGGATGATGGAACCAATCCGTAGCAATTTCAGTACCGTAAAAGACACACGACATCCCTACTGTGAATATCAGTTATACTCACTCACCAAGGTGCTGTGTAGTGCAGTGATAAAGTCGAGAATACCGACTGTTCGGTGACACAACATGTCTTATTTTCCTAATATCACTTATGTGAGGATTTGTTACAATATTCTTTATGTCCATTTTCTACTCACCTGAGGATTCATAGATACTGGAGTCAGATTTTATTCGACACTTGTAAACACCTTCATCTGTATTATGAACGCGATCTGTAGTTAGAACACAATGATTATCCAATAAGTATGTCCTCCATATTGTTTCATTATGCTGAAAGTGATTGCTTTCAAAAGTCGCCAATTTACTAGAGATCATTCTGTTGACACTGTGTTGTTTTGGTACCAGTGTGTTGTATGAATAAATTATTTGTTGATTATGTATCCAGTTAACTATTATATTCGATCCAGGCTTTATAGCGGAGGGTAGAGGACACCGTATAGCTATCGGATCACCAGCAAACACCATACCTACAGTTCCATTGCTATCATTGAAAACAAGAGACTGTTCTTTGACTGGAACGAATGGTTGTATCAATAAAGATCCTTCAAAAATAGATTTCAGAGCAAATTAAAGGTTACACAAAGTAACAGAATACATTATAATGTTATAATTAAAGCATATATTGCACCAACAATAATAACAATGTATGTCATGCAAGCAGAACTGAAAATATCTTGCAATTGTCGAAGATTTGTATACCTCTCAAAAATGAAATCCCGATAAGACAGCTAAAATACCCAAAAATTCAGACAAGAACCTTGGAAAATCCATTTTAATGTTATTTAGTGACAAACAGTGGCTTGAAATGTAGTTGTTGCGTTTACAGAAGTAACTTCTGACTGCATACATTTATTCCTCTTTATGAATTTGGATAAAGCAAGAACAACAGTGGTTTGTGCAGAATAAGAAGATGGTACCATCATTGCTTATTTCGTTGGCTTCTCATCAGATGCTTGCTTGCAGCCTAAAGAAATTGTTATTAAGTTTATGTACACAACAATTCTTAACATACTTGCAAATTTTACATGATCTCAGTTGACAGCAGGTTGTGGACTTAGTGAACAGTGCTCAGAGAATTACGCTGATATAGTTCTTGCACAGGGAGTTCAAGTTTAAACAAAGTAAGTTCATGTATGCACACATTGGTAAAGGAGTTACTCAATGAAGACGAGAGATGTGTAAGATCGTGAGTAACTAATAAATTGGGTGACAATGTAATGAGCTCAACTCAGATCACAAAAACAAAAGACAAGCAAAATTACACTATATTAAAGAAGGGGGTTGGGTGAGGTTAAAGCCAAAGATTACGTAATCAAATGAAGGAGAGGGACAGTGCAGATATCCGGTTACCAGGCAGCGCAAGGAAAGACTGCTTCTTTCTGAACACATGAATCGGGTTTCAGGTGTTTAATAAGACTGTCTCGGCAAACTTGAGGAGAATTGAGCTTTTTTATCTGATGATTTTGAAAGAATTTATGATTTCCACCTCATGACTCATATGAAGGGGAGATGTAGGTCTTTTGGTATGTATTCAAAAAATCGAACGTTTGCCCTTCTTTCTGTTCTCCCAATGTAACAGCCTCCGCAGATACACGTTAATTTGCATACACAGTTGGAGTTAATATGAGAAGGGTATCTGTCGATTTTTGGCTGCACCAAAGAGCATGTTGCCCGAGAAATGGGAACCAACTTAGCTGATGAGCAGCCAATGAAATAAACAATGATGGTGCCATATTATTCTGCAAAAACTGTTGTTCTTGCTTTGTTTAACTTCTGACTGTTTAACCGACTGTTCAAATGAACTCTATCCTGAACTAATACAAACTGGTTGGAAGAAATAGAAGCTTCATTTTAGCTTGTCACTCTTAAATTTAGATTCGCTACCATACAAGGAATCGAACTCCAATTCAGGTAATTAAGTAGTTAGTAATGAGGTTGAAATTTAGTAATCTTGACGTTCTAATGACTAAACGAACAGACGGAACAATATGTAGACATTTTCATAGAAAATCTACTTCCACTAAACAATATACTCACTTCCTGAGCTTTTCACCTCTACAATACAAACGTAATCTGGTTAGATGTCTGGTTCAACGGGCTAGAGTTATCTGTTCAAATAAGACACTGAACGAAGAAATCGGTAATATTCGCGATCTATTAAGCAGAAACAGATATCCAACCAAATTCGTGAACAAACACATGAAATCAGAAAGTAAGAAGCAGAAGGTGCCCACTGTTCCCAAAAAATCAGTCTTCCTAAGATTACAATTCACGGGTGATATCAATAGTGAGATCTTATCACAAAGTCTGAGAAGGTCCTTCAAAAGGCTTTTAGCGCAGCTAAGCTATGCTGTATAATCACTGGTTAACCAATACTTAGTTTAAGAAATAAAGACAGACTACCCTTCCATGTGTATTTGCCAGCGTAACTGCCCATGTGGAGCTATTTACATAGGGCGTACAATCAGACAAGTTCATCATCGAATTTCTGAACACTTCCCATCTTGGTTTGTCAAAAGTCCGAATAAAGCTATACGCAGCTCAATAGCAGCTCATCTCGTTGTCGATACTGGACATCAAATCGACTCTAATAAAGCTTTTATTTATCGGATATCACCCACCCTCCTTCATGGTCTACGAGTAGGACTCCCACATACATCAGAGGCAATCGGAATTCATCTGAACAAGTAAAATTTGTGTGTGCGTTCAAAAGAAATTTGTACGCCCCCTTTCTTTGCCATGGCCAACTACACAATATGTATTAAGTTTTAAAAACGACTTTTATAACTATCTTTTGACTTGGTTAAATTTTACAATTTTTACAATCCTAGCTAATTCTATTAACTTGTTTGTTTGAATTTTACGTAATTCTTCTGAGTCATTCTATTCTTTTAAGTTGTCATCGCTATTTTACAAATTTCTTGATTATGTAATAACTTAATGCTAACGCCTAAGAATCAACTTATCTTGAATTCCGTAAATAATTAATTTCCACCTCTCCCTCCCTCAAAACTTAGATATCTTGTTGGTAAAACCTATTTGTTAATTGTTTTGATGACCTTTAACCTCATAATCTCACCCTCCTATGACTGAAACTGATTAACTAAAATAACCACTTAACTGGTGAAGCATTTTGATGTAAAAATTTATATATATTAGTGTAGAGCTGATGATGATAAACTAATTGAAAAGGAATATATTTCTTCTCTCAGTCCGTTATTAAAATAAAATAGAAATTGAATACTGGATTGGGTCCCAGTGGCTTAGTGGTCTACGAGCTCGCTAGCCTTGTAACCAGAAGGCCATCGGTTCGAACCCTGTCAGTGGGTGCCTACAGTTGAAGAGTCAGTCCAAAAGTAGGCCGACGAAACAGCTGGCTGTCCTAACAGTCCTCTAATCGATATCAGTTCATGGTGAAGTCCTGAAACCAATCAACCAAATCCCTGCAAACCAACAATTGAATTGAGTAGTTAAATTAGTTTTATAGAAAATAAAAATATATAAAACTTACTTCTTGTTCTCAGTTTAGTATTAGACACAAGATCTGTTATCTCACATTCATAAATTCCTTTATCAGTAATATTTGCATTCGATGAGAATAGTATACTTCTATTCACATCTGTATCAGTATGCCATATAGTTTGATTCAAAGGTGAACCATTGTATGTCCATTTCACAGCAGGGATTATACACAGTCCATTATAATTAACTGTTATTGTAACTGGTTTAAGACGTCCTGTAGATGGATCCAGAATTTCAGCCTTTACATCGGACTTATTTTCAATAACGACTGGAATAATACTTAAAGAAGCTAAAAATTATTAAAATATAAAAAACCAAAATGAATAAATAAGCAAAACATTATCTCATTGAATTTAGCAGTGTGACTGAGTAGTTTAGAAGCTTGTATGATACAGCATGCTAATAGTGAGAAATATTTTCATTGAGAAGACGATAGTATGCTATTGAATTGAGGAGAATAGATGAAGAAATCAAGACTTCTGTTTGCCTGACACATTCTTATCGTGTAACTGAGTATTTTCCAGTGAGTGCTAAATCCATGAAACGTAGTCCTAGAGGTTTTTATGAAACTTGTGCATAACACAACCCAGAGAGTATGGTTGTGTCATACCATTTGACTTGATGTAAAAATTGCACACTGTGACAACGAATGCACATCATAACAATCAAGGATGGGCAGTTACTTTGATGACTATCATGTAAATGGTTTTGAACTAAGTAGTTCTACAGATAGTAAGTCATTGCTTGAATTGACTATGAGAAGATCTCTTGAAGTGTTTCTTGAGGTGCAAGACTATAAACTTTCCTATGCCTATCATAAGGTATACATCTAGTTGTGAAATATTCTAAAGGATATTTACTAGGCTATTCATATAACAGAGTAATTTCAGCAAAACATAATCTGGTTCTGTTGTGTTCTATAAGCCGAGTGCTTCAGTCAGGAAGCCTTCATTGTGCTTCTGAATGCAAGTGACTTATTTCAAACCTACACTAGATAGTTTCTTTCCTTCTTAAAAGTGAAACATTTTGGCACTCCCCTAGTGAAATTTTCTGAAATTTTCTATGCTAGTTAGGACTGTTGATTTTATTTCTTCAATCAGGACATCATGAAATCAACCCTCCAGGTAAATACTGATTTTTGTTTTAATCATCGAATCTTACTTAACTTCAATTAAGACTTAGTAGGGTTTTTAAACCGAAGTAACTTATTTTCCAATGGTTCTCTAACAGTTGTCAGCTCATGATGAAATCTTGTAACCAGTCAATCAAATCCCTACAAACCAATTACTTGAGACTCGTTTTTGTATGAAATAAACAAAAAAAGATAGTGTAAATGTAGAAGTCGAGCATTATGGTAGAATATAATTTCATATCAGATACGTTCATCTGATCTAACATACAGTGATAGAGTATTGAAGACTGGAAGACATTTCCAGCACAATTTAATGTTCATAATCATATCAAATTATTCACATGATTTGGTAACTTGCTTAATATAGTCTCAACGTTTGCTATTTTCATTTCAGGCGATTAACCTCTCTACAATGAACAATATTACTTCTGAATACTTTAACCCCGTCTTGCCCTACTGTTTGATTACATGAAAGTGAATTCATTGCCATGACTGAGCCTTATTTTACCAAATATCATGTAATGCCTGTGAAGTCAACTGAGCAGATCAAACACATGAACACTGGAATTTAGATCGAGTTCAAAAGATCCACACCACTAAATTAAGTGAAACCTGGAGCATCCCGAAAAGCATTTCCAACAGGCCACTACAGACTTTTGTCAACAACCGCCTTCGCTCTATACTGAAGGTCAAATGGTCGGCCAGAAAGAATTAGCTATAAGAAACTATGAGAACAAACTAACCACCAACTTATAGTTCAACAGATATGTAGGAGAAAATGGAGATCGATCGGGTATACACCAGTAGGGAGATCGTCGAGTGAAATTGCGCACAATGCAGGCCATCGCTCAAGTGGAACCCGGATGTGAAATGACAAATGGGTGAGAGTGGCGTGTGGGTGACACGGAGATAATCGTGTGTTGGGGAGGAGGAGGAGATGAGAGATTATTGGCAATCGTGGGGTCAGCCAAGCGAAGAGGATGTCAGAAGATAGAAGGAAGTGGAGATGTGCTGTTGAAGCCGTATTTTCCACTCAGAACCCAAGGGGACAATAATAAATTAAGTGATCTGGAAAAAAGCCTGGTCACTGCTATGCATTCACTTGCATGTAATCAACCACATCAATAGTAGGTTGGAACAGGGTGAAAGTATCAGTAAGTAGTATAGTTAAGTGGAGGAGAGAGGTTAACCACCGAATCCTTGTTCATCGAATCAACACAAAATACGTGCAATAGAAATAATACAACACCTAACTCGGATATGTAGGAAATTGCGGCAAAAAATAGGAAGGGTTTACACTGTATAAAGCAAGAAATCAAATGGTGTGTATATACTGAAATGATTATGAGTAGTAACATTGTCCCCGAAACATCATCCAACTATTAATACTGTATCATTGTGTTTTACCAAACAAGCTTATCTTATATGCAATAAAGACTGTTCCAGCAAAAACTGGATTTGTGTTTTATGGATTCTCTATTGCCTACACAAATATAATTTATATATCACTGCACCCACGTGTACAACGCACTCTAATAAAAACGATTTGGGTGGCCAAACAGATGACGACTGAATGAAGTAGCACAAGTGGATGGAATAATAAAGACTCTTCAAATAATAAACACTTATCAAGATTTTGAATGAATATTTTCAGAGTGATACTGAAAGTTGAAAAAAGAGATTGAAAACAGTGGTAGTTCAATAACAGATGACATATACTGGCATCACTCACAGATGAAGTGAGTGTAATTAAACTTAGAAATCATGAAGAAGATTGGTAGCTCAAGTATATGATATTGAATTAGTTGTATTCTCTGACGAGCTGGTTAATTTAATTTTGAAGCTTTCGTCGCCCTTCTAGACAGCATCATCAAAGCAAGTTTTAGTATGGAATGAACTCATTTAAATTCTCCATTAATGTTGCGATTGTATCTCTGTACAATAATGTGTTTGATAATTGCTATCTGATTCACTCGAGTACGAGGGCTCCTTGGAATTCCCTGGTGGCATTTTTGGCGTTTCCTCTATTTAAAATTTCTACATTATCCCAATCATCAAATTGGTGTCCATAATCACCCATATGCATTGATACGAAAGAATATATCATCTCTTTTTTCAGATATTTTGTGTTCTTGAATTCGGATTCGTGTCATAACACCAACGACAAGCCTACATCAAAGAACCCAGGAAAATTCGTCCGACCATGTATAGAAAATATCTCTGAAATAATAGCTAGAATATTAAGACCGTTTGGAATAGATATAGCACACAAGCTAGCAAGCCAGCCAGCACAATCACTTTATTCGACATTGTGCGAACCGAAAGATCCAACAGGAAAAGAAGATAAAATTAATACCATTTACAAAATAAATTGCCTGTATGAACAGCAATAAACATTACATCAGTGGTCATAGTGGGCGTCTCCTTCGAATCCGAATACAAGAACACAAGTTGGTTGTAAAACGACATGATGCATATATTCTTTCATATCAATGCATGTGGATAATTATGGACACCAATTTGATGATTGGGATAATGTGGAGATTTTAAATAGAGGAAACACCGAAAATAACGGCAGGGAATTTCTAGAACGCAGGTACTCAAGTGAATCAGACAGTGATTAACAAACACATTATCGTAGATCGAATTTACCACCAGCTAATAGAATGTAAATCCCATGACAAGAAAGTTCGAACTCCAAGTCAATAAAAATGATCAGTAGAGACGTAAATTAACAACCAGTCACGACAGTGGTTTTCAGTAGAGAGATGCAATTACATCATTCATGGGGAATTTAAATGAGTTCAATTTATACTAAAACTTGCTCTGAAGATGTTGTTTAGATGGCGAATGACAAAATCTTCTCGATTAAACCAACCGGCTCCTCAGGGGGAACACAACTAATTCAGCAAATAAACTTTGCCGGAGTTTACTAAGCTCGGATAAAAAGTAGATTCTGAAATGTATAAAAGGCAAAACTGTAAAATCAAACTGATATGAGACCAAACTTTCTGCATAATTAGAGTTTTTGTAGCGCTATTAGCCTTGTGCAAGATTCATACTAGTATATATATTCAAACACAAAGATACAATTCCCACTTCTTAAAGCAACAGCCCTGATAAACACCAAAAGATTGAAGTTAAGTTGTTATTTACCACCTTGAATGATGAATACACTTTGTCATTAACATCATTCAGTATCAAGTAGATGTAGACTGTTTACATTCTACCTTAATAATCACAATAATAATAATAATAGTAGTAATAATGATAATAGTTTCAATGCGGATTTCCTCACGAACCAACCTCAGTTAGAGTGTTCATTAAAAACTATGGAGCACTTGACGGCCATCTCCTCCTAGTTCACGACTATTCATCAGTGAACATCCACGACTCCACCAGGAATCGAATCCAGGACGTTCAGGCGACGAAATCAGGCTTGTCGACCATTCAGGCACTTGGATTGGAATTCAATAACCTCTAACTACTGTTGGTTTGTGACGAAATCTGCATTCGAATTAATGAAAATCCCTACAAAATACCCATAATCTCAATAATAATAGCAATAATAATATGATAATGGCTTTCTTCTGAACAATAACGTTTATTTACAGTACAGAATTTCCACCGTGTTCTTATCTATTCCTTATTTAGAATCTTCAAGTAGAGTGACAGTCTACAATATACCATTCGACAGAATATTATTCGATCTTCAGTATGCTCCAAGTCACGACTGTTTTGTCCCTTCGAAACATATATAACTAGCGAAATACAATGAAAGCTATTCACAATACACCAGGAGTACGGATTGTTCTTCAAGAATGTGATCAGGTAGTTAAAATAAAATACAACTGAGTGAATCTGAGGCATCATAAACTATGGATAATTAACTAACCCATTGATTTTAAAGGGTCCACAGGTATGGGGACCTTCAAGTTTCAATTGCTTTAGAATACATTTTAGACCCCTTGGAAGTTGACCAAACTTAAGAAACTTCACGTCAAATACCACGAAGGCAGTCATTGTTTTTGATGACCAGTAGAGATGTCTAGTTATTTACCACTAAACAAAGTTTACATTAGTACCAGTAAAATTTCTAACTTAACCATCATCTACTGGGGTTTCTATTTTGAATTAGCCATTAAGTCTGCGACCTTCATGAAGTTTTTTATAAAATGAGTCTAAAATATTACGAGTTAAAGAATAAATCAGAATTCATATAAGTATGCTTATATATGCAAATGTACAGCTACATTTGAGAACTGTTAATGAAACCATTGTGGTTTTCATGTGATTAATGTGTCCCTGCTATTCTGAAAAACTAACGTTGAACAAAAACACACCAGCTTAATTCTATGCATTAATACACAAACGAACACAAAAGAATCTGAGGGTCGGTAGGTTATTGGGAATTTATGCAAATAAACAGCATAAATCACAGGATCGTAAATTCACTGACCAAAAGTTCACTAAAACAGGATACATGATTTGTATACGACACTTCCTGGAAACAGACCCCTTCAATAGAACCTTCACAACATTTAACAAGCTAATCGATTGACTTTCAGAGCCTCACTTCTCTTTCTGAACAGTCTTATATTCACATGGTTAGTTTACTGTGTTCACAAACTTCCTAACAAATTAAACACAAAGAGACAGAGAGAGCTGTCGTTGTAGCTGACTATTTGTCTAATTAGTGTTGCATTTCTCAAAAAGGGGCAAGTACTGAACACACATCAAGCAGTAAGGTGTTGCATTTCCCCCAAATAAAAAAATGCTCACAAAAAATGACAACAGAAACCAGCTTACCGTTACTTTTCATCGCTTTACCAGTTTTCTCATTCTTAATACGTAAAGTGTATAATCCAGCACTGTGTTCTGAAACGTTATTGATGATTAATTCAACAAAATCCACGCTAATATTTTCTACAATATTATTACTATTACTGTCATTTGTTATACTGATGCGTTCTTTGGCCCCATAACTCAATTGTCCTTTAACAAATTGAAATGGTCTATAGAACCATGAAACACTGAATTCACTTTCACGCAATGGACCATTAAATTGACACTGAAAACGAACTGTTTCACCTAGTTTACTCTGAACATTACTCAACGGTTTAATGATTTTCCATGAGGAATATAATATAGATGGTGCAGAATTGCTTTCATTTATATTGCTCTCAGTGTTATTATTATTATTACTGTTTAAATTATTTCTAGGCATGAATTTCTCAGAGTTTATACTTTCTGGATAAGAAAGATGCGGTGATGGCAAGGCTGGTTTCCTATTCCTGCCAAGCAGCATGGATGAACTTGCCTCTGAAGAGGATGGTAGCCCTGAAGTAACCTGTGAATTGGATAGATCTGATAAATTCTTTTTATGATTGGAATATCTCTTTTGATGGCCGGGATCATTTTGATTGTTTTTGTTATGATTAGAATCAGTACCAGGTTTATTGATTAACTCTGAAAGATCAACTGGTGATGAGCCGGTTACACGCATGTTAAGCATCAACATATCCAATTCCTCTTGTGATTCTTTGATCAATTGCAATTGATTAGTTAAATATTGTATTAACCATGAAACATCAGGTTGAATAGAAGATAATTGACTGATTTGTTCAGCGTAGGGAGATAGACAGTCTGGTTTGATAATACCAAGAATTGCTTGTTCCAAATGATGACTGTCAATCTACAAAATTATTTGGTATTTAAAAAAAGACGTCAACAAGACAGTGTGACTAATCAAAGCAGAAATCCCAATAAGAAAAGTTGTTAGAATCCAGTTACTTCGAAAAAAATCCTTCGACATAACAGTTTATGAGACACAGTCATCATTTTGTGAAGACCAGTTATGCAGATTGAAGTAGGTGTGGATGGATTCAATGCCAAGACTTACTGAAAGCCGAGTGTTTAAGGCCTATATCTACATCTTCAACTTCACTACTTCGAAGATTACTCCCATGAATATTTATCGGTTTAAACCAACTTGGAAAACATTCAGTGTACTTCAACTGTTTTTCCGACAGTCTAACGTCCCGATATACAAGAAGGGAGACAAGCCCTCCTGTGATAATCACAGGGGAATTAGCCTGACTAATATCGTATCCAAAGTTCTAGGCTCCATAATAATGCGTAGACTAAGCGGTTCTCGGGAGGAACAATTACGAACGAACCAGGAAGAGGTTGTATTGATCACATCTTCACCCTTCGACAGATTCTCGAAGATAGGAATACTTACCAACGTCCAATAATCGTCATATTTCTTGACCTAAAGGAGGCATTCGATTCCGTCGACCGAAAGGTATTACGGCGATGTTTGGCCATTAAGGGAATGCCGAGAATATACATCGCACTGATCTATCAAGGCAGCTAACTCAAACTTTTGCAGTCAGTCAGGTGAGAGCATACGCAGAGTTGCCATCTGACAACTGTGGTGACAACCAGTGCAGTGGTGTCCGTCAGGGATACCCACCAATGTATCCATTTCTATTTCATTTCATCACAGATGTACTGATGGACTTAATTCTAAGTGAATTCAGCGATTCAGGGATTTACATATTACGACCATGGAATAATCTCATTGCATTACAATATGCAGATGATATAGTCCTCCCATGTGGGTGAAGACGATGACAGAATAGAGCAGAGTCTTCTGAACACATTGAACAGTGAGTAATCTTGGAATGTTTGGTATGTGATTTGCTCCTGATGTCAAATGAAGGATGATGCAACATGACTGTACTGGACTTCATCGACTTCTAGTTTAAAGACAGGGAGGTGGTGAATTGTCTGGTGGAGTGTGTTGACCACTTCACTTATTTAGGGAGCTGCATCAGCCTGCTGCGTCAGCGGGTTGATCGCTGACGAAATCTCAACACGGATACAGATGGCCTGTTTTGCATATGCCAATTGATGCCATCTCTAACTTAGTAGACTTATTATCCGGTTGGCTGTCGACCAAAAGATGTGTGTACTGCTCAGCAGTCCGTTCTGTCCTCCTTTATGGCTGTTGAAAGCGGAAGACATGAAAAGCTTGACTACCTAGCTGTCTTTGATCAAAGATGTCTGCGTTCTATCTCCCGTGTGTGTCAGGTGGTGGTAGAATAGGGTCAGCAATATTGAAGTTAGGCATCGGTCGAGTGCTAGGTAGGTGAGAGGCGGAATCAAAGACGAGGTGGTTGTGAAGTAAGACCGATTGCGATGGTTAAGACATGTATTACCTATTGCTAGTCAGCCATCGTTCGCCTTCCTCGATGATGGTAATCTTAGCTGACAGACACAAGACGGATCAGGCTGGAGAAGAGCTAGCTAGTGATAGCCAAACGAAGACATGGCTTTATCAGTCAGTTTATAAAATCCATAATAGTTAGTTTAAGTTAGCCAGCCACGTAGGGAGGTGTGAGGGTCATCGAGATGGTAAAAACCAATGAAGACTGGAGACAATTGGTGATGTAACTCAAAATCGTTCTCAATGACAGCGAAGATGCGTCCACTCTTTGTGATTTGTCAGTTATACTCAATAAAATTCTATTGTTCTTCTATATTACTATTCTTTTTGCTTCAAACTTCTGTTTATTATCTCTCTTTACTCTCTTCTCTTGCTTAGAATCCTATGTGGAGGGAGAGTGGCAACTTGAACTGGTGCTCCACATCTGTACAAATTTCTACGGTAAAACCAGGCAGTCAGTCAGTCAAATAACGTGTTTTGTACACATACAATACTCTTAAATGTGTATAAACTTATTTCCGAATAAAATGAGTGACAATATTCCCTACCACAACAGTCGGGACTTCTAGAATAAGTATTCATTATATAAGGTTAATAGCCTGGTGAATAATTCATGCATCACGTCACTGGATTTATGAAGGCAGTTTCATTGCTGAATTATAAACAAGCATCTATTCAGAGGATGTTCTTTCAGTGCATAAAGATGACTGTCAGTCAGTTGACTACTAATGCTGTACTACTCTAGCTGACTAGTTAGTTACCACAATGTCATTTTAATGATTCTGTGTACTGTTTAATTCTTGTATTAATTAATTAATATTCCTTCACTGATGTCTATCATATTTATCATGAAATTTACTGTTAATGATACCAGAAAAACGGGCGACTGAACGTCCACGTTCAAATACCAAAGCTGAATGAATAACAGACAAATTCCATCCTCACTTTGAGATAACAATCTATTCAACTATCTTACATATATATTCTACTTTGATTTCTTAATAATCTTCATAAAAAAGACATAAAACACAGTCAACTGTCTGTCATATTCTGAAATCAATGACTTAATTAGTCCTTCAGTGTGTAGTGAAAATAATAATTTGTGTAACATGTGAATTTCTATTCTTATATCGACTTACTTCATTTGAAGGTATAGGTGACCTTTGCTTGTTGGCATCTGATAAACAGTTTAAATAGTTTGCTCTGAAGTTCTCCAATTCAGGAATGATATTATAAGCCTGTAGAGCAAATTAACACAACAAAAAGAATTAGCGAATCTTTATTTGAGGATGATTGTGGCCGTAGAACTTTGTCAACGTGGTTTAGTGTAATTCTATATGCCGTATAAGTATATTTAATATAATATACAAGTGATATATTATTTAAAAATTGGATGAAATTTTTAATAGCACTTCTTGTTCCAAATCATATCAGTGAGTTCAAGAGACTTATTGACCAGATACACCTGGAATTGACTGTGAAATTGTGCTTTCCTTAAAACAAGAAAGCCCATGAGAATTCTCTAGCCTCTTGTTCAAATCACAGTCGACCACGTGAAACCGAAAGCTCCACAAGCGTTGATTAATGTGATAGCAACTTGAATATTCCCATAATTTATTCTGAACAAAAATAGTTAGAGCGAACAATTGTGGTTTCAATAAGTTCTTCTTCAGGCTCTACAGTTATGGATCCATTAATTTAAGCATACAATAGAAAGCCAGTAGTAAAGGCAAAGGAAGAGGAACAAAAGAGGAACCTGAAACAAACAAACTCTTCTACCTACCTGGGAAGCATCGTGTCAACTACAGGAGGAACTGACGAGGATATCAAAGCGAGAATCGGAAAAGCAAGACAAGCTTTCACTACTCTCAAGTCTATGTGGAGGTCAACAACACTCAGCATGAAAAATAAGATCCGGATTTTCAACTCCAATGTGAAGTCAGTGCCACTTACTATACGTACGGATCAGAGACTTGGCGCGTCATAAAGAGCATCTCAAACAAACTACAGACCTTCATTAACAGTTGTCTTCGCTCAATACTCAAGATCAGATGGCCGGTCAGAAAAGATCAGCAACACAAATCTCTGGGAGCGAAACAACCAGGAACCGATTGTGAAACAAATAGGCAGGAAGAAATAGAGATGGATTGGCCATACTCTGAGGAAACCATCAAGTGACATCACTAGATAAGCCCTCGAGTGGAACCCGAAAGGGAAGAGGCGATTTGGTCTTCAGTGCAAGGGTGACTTGGAGGAGGTCATGTGAAGAGAAGATGAAAACGTGTGGGCAGACTTGGAGCCAGGTGAAAACTCTAGCAGAGAACCGAACGCAATGGAGACGCACGGCTGAAGCCCTATGTTCCTCTAGGAATAAAAGGAAACAATAATAATAATAAAGGCAAATTAGAATCATTTCAGAAATGAGTTGTGGCACAAGTATAAGTAAGATGGCATGGGAGAATAGTCAGTTAGTTTTGAATATGAATGGTCAATGAGAACATGAGATAAATTGAGGCCAACAAAAGTACAGGTTTCGAGGGTGAGTTAATCAGTGTGGTGTGTGAGACAATATGAATACTACAGAAAATAAACCAACGAATGGGGTGGACTAGACATAAGTTCAAGGGTGAAAATAACGACAATAATACTGACTGTAAAATAATAATGATAACACCGTATAAACTTAAAAGTACTATTGTTTATTGATTACCAAATAATAATAATAATGAATTTAGTGAAGTAAAGTGAAATGAACAGGATTTTGTAAATATGACAACAATTTAGAAAAGCATTACGTAAACCTAAGGAAATAGAAATCATAAGAAAGGTCATGAAATCGTAAAAGGTAAGAAATAAACGTTTGTCAATGTGAAACAAAGGGAAAGAAGAAGAAAAGAAAAAAAATGTGATAGGAATTTAAAGTGCTAATGTAATGTAATCTTTATGCAGGATCTGTTGGCCTTATTGTAGACCAAGGTAAACATAGAGGTTGAACATACTTTTTGTGTATACAAAGAGCCAGTCTTCTGGTATTGATTGCAACCGCTTCAGTTACTGATAGAAGATGTAGTCTAGCTCCTCTAGATAGATTTCCAGGAACGCGGTAAATAATTAAGAACGCCTGATCAAGTTTTATCCAATGTCCAGTATCTATCAAGTGGGTTAAGACAACACTGTTTACGCATTTCGTTACGCCTTTACTCAACCATACAGGTACGGCCAATGTAACTAACTCCAAATGAGCGGTTGAATTCATGGATGCACAGTGATTAGGCCATTTTTGGTAATTTCTCCTGGGCTCGGTGTGTGAGTACTAGTTTAGTTGAAAAGTTGAGTATCAGTTTATCTCATGTTTTCATTCACCATTCATATTCACAACTAACTAACTACTGTCGCATTCCCTCTCAATTAAACTTGCTCCACAATGCATTACTGATATGATTCTGATTTGCATTTACTGGCTGGCTATTGTATGCTTAAATTAATAGATCTATAATTGTAGAGTCAAATCGAGAATAGGGAAAGCGAGAAACACTTTCATCAACCTGAAACCAATCTGGAAATCTTTGTCACTCAGCATCAACAACAAAATTCGGATTTTCAATACAAACGTCAAGTCAATTTTGCTTTACGGATCAGAAACTTGGCGGGTCACGAAGAATATTTCCAACAGCCTGTTGCAGACCTTTATCAACAACTGTCTTCGTTCTATACTGAAGATCAGATGGCCGGAAAGAATCACAAATAAGAAAATATGGGAACAAACAAAACAGGAACCAATCACCCAACAAATATGCAGGAGAAAAAGGAGATGGATTGGACACTGGTTGAGGAGGCCGCTGGGTGACATCGCTCGTCAGGCCCTCGAGTGGAACCCGGAAGGGAAGCGGCGAGTGGGACGTCCAAGGGTGACATGGAGGAGACCGTGTGAAGAAGAGTTGAAACAGTATGGACTAACATGGATGCAAGTGAAAAGTACAGCAGAAGACAGAAGCAAGTGGAGACGTGCAGTTGAAGCCCTATGTTCCAGTAGGAACCCAAGGGAACAATAATAATAATATAATTGTAGAGCCCGAAGAAGAATTTATTGAAACCACAATTGTTCTCTCTAACTTTTTCGTTCTAGTGTGATAGCCTTTCTAGTTTCATAGCTTGGAAACATAAAAAATGTATTTAGAATCAGTGGCTAACCGGAGTCATTTAAAGAGAATTACTTACACCCATGAAGCGTTAGGTATTTGTGTCGTTCTGATTTAGAATTCTCAAGTAGCAGTTTACATGATGCCACCAGGGATTATTAACTCATATCGGCTTGCAGTGAAACCTACAGTGAAGTTATTATTTCATTCTTTACAAATCTAACATATGAATACAACAACTGTGACCGGTCGATGTATTAAGCATCCACGAAAGAAGAAATACACATACTTTTTTTATTGTAGCTTGAATCCACACAGTACGTTTTTTTTAGTAGAAGTAAGGAATTTTCAGCATGTGATATCGGTAGCCCAAATTTTGCAGGCCGACCATTGATATCGGGTGTGTGTCGGCAGGAGATCGAACCCCGGACCATGTGCATGGTAGGCGAGAGTCCTAACCACTGTGCCACCGACGCACATGATTAAACGACTCCCAATTTACTGATGCATGCGTCAGTCATTCACACACTACCTCATAGATAAGTGGTTTACAGAGTTGAGCATAAGTTTAAATGTCTACCTACCTATCTGGTAGATTTTGTTCTCCATCCAATAGTCTAAATGTGATTAGTTATCAATTATCATTGTGCTCCAAGAAAGTAATCATCACACAGGGTAACATTTATCTTCATGTATCCAGCTCAAAGGTATCACTTTTTTCTTTCTCATGAACTAGAATTAATACGTTTATGCATTAAATTACAAGTTGTGTACACACATTAGTGTACTACTACTCATTGTTGTTTTAATCAGGTGAAATATCGATATATTTTCAATGTTCACTTATCATCAATATTGATCAGATTATTCATTAATTAGCACACAGTGATTGATTATGTGAAATAAAAACAATTACCTAGCCATAACAGCGCATGGTAATCAATCCCAGTGTATACATATATAACGCTGAACTTTATAAATTCATAAGTATGGAAGAGAATATTCACCGACTTATTATTTTAAATAGCACTGATCTCAATTCTAGAAACTAAAGTTGTATTTTGTCTTATTTGTATACATCTACAAGTGAATGTCTGTGTGTGTAAACATGCAAGCACATGTGAGTACGTTCCATAGTAAGGTGACAAAAAGCCAGGGACAAACTAATTCTATGCATTTACTTATTTATGTCTTAGATATAGGCATACACCTACCGAAATGTCGAAATTTAGCATTTCACACACACACACACACACACTGTGAAATGCTAACTTCAAATCGGCGGTAACACTGAGAATAAGGCTGACTGATATTACTACTCCTAATAATCTAATTGCATACAATGTGGTATTGCTATCTATCTATCTATTTTCACACCAAATGCACAGGATACTTGAATTGATAAGACCGATTGATGTTTGTTTGTGAAAGAGGTAAGTGTGCAGTAGAAATAACTGTGCACAGTATGTGGTGTGTAGAAAAGAGACGGCTTAGGATAGAAGGGGTAAGATGCCTCTAGCTCTCTCTTAATATTGTGATAGTGAAATAAGTAAAATGCCTCAGGTAGGCCTAATGTATGCAGCAAATTCTTTTATATTCAGTAGACAACAAATAATATTATATTGATAATGATAATAATAATAATATTGACAGGGTAACAGTAATCGCTTTAATTCAAACCACAATAATTTCTCAAAACCTAATAATTCTACAATGACAATCAAAAAATGCTCACTAAATTGCTTTTTCTTCGTCTATATGGTCTTCTATTGGATCAATGGCACGAAACATATCACAAAGACAAACTGAAAACAGGAATCCATAGTGTAAACTTTAACCATGACAGTCAGCACGTTGTTTCAACTGTTACTTTACTTGGTGAATTCGTCTTCCACAAATTATAATTATAACATCGTTACTTTAATTTCAAGATGGAATTCCTTAAGTTCTACGGAGAATTCCTGATTAGCAGCGCTATTTGGAAAGACTGATTAGAAGCCTCGATTCCGTGGATTCACATTCAGTCATAATAACTCTCAACACTTAGCGATAGAAAACCAGGTTGTAGAACCACGTGGTTCAGCTCACTGTTTGTATCTCAAACAAATCGATGTTTTAGAATGGGTAACTAAATCGGATAAGATGAATTCTAAAAGTGAGCAGTCTGTAATAAATTCTGTATACGGTGCTCTGTCTGAATACAAAGCTCTGATTTATTCAATATTATCGCAGTAACTTCTTATATCAGATAATCAGGTATCTAACCAGGAAGAGATCAAACACAGATGATGAAACCAATAAACGATGCTCAAGGGAACCTGATCACCAAGGAGGAGAAACGAATCAAACAATGAGCCGATCACTGCAAAGGACTCTTGAATCGAACATCACTTGCAACTCGCCCTGAAATATCACCAACAGCACACACGAAAATGCCTGCCAGTGGACACCAATCCTTCAACGAGAGAAGAAATCCTGAAGTCGATCAAGCTACTCAAGTCCGGGAAGACAGCAGGACCAGACAGCATTCCTCTCGAAGCACTGAAAACGGATCCAGAGAATGAAGCAGATATGCTGACGTCATTATTGCAAAAGGTTTGGAAGGAAGGAAAGGTACCCACCGATTGGAAGAAAGGCTATCTACCTCTTCAAGCTGCCAAAGAAGAGAGACTTAGGCCTGTGCAAAAACTGACGGGCGTGGAATAACGCTCATGTCCACGACAAATAAAATACTAAGTCGCATCATCCTGGAGAGAATAAAAGATGCACTAGATGCAGAACTTCGCCGACTGGAACAAGGAGGATTGAGGAAGGGCAAATCATGTGCTGGCCAAATTGCAACTCTACACATCATCATCAAAGAACAAAGAATAGAATAGCAGCCAAACCTGTACCTTAACTGAATTGACTTCGAGAAGCCTTCGACAGCATTGACTGAGAAGTAATTTGGAAACTACTTCAACACTAAGGTGTGCCTCAGGTCTTTATCAACCTCATTCAACAGCTAGCCACATGACAGTAGTACGTGTCAGATGATCCACAACGGGAAACTCAGCGAGGCATTCGAAGTGAACAGAGGAGTAAGATAACGCTGCCTATTATCACTAATAATATTCTTAATTGTGGTGCACTGGATTATGCGTCAGACTGTCCACAGGGAGTAAGAAGACAAAAATACGTTAGACTGACTAATGAGAGAGATTCTAGAAGATCTAGATTTCGCGCGTGGATGATTTATTCTCAATGTTCAATGTCACACAAACTCGCGAAAACCAACAAACTGGCTAAGAAGGCTGGCTGGAAGCGAAGACAGGACTTCAAGTGAATGTAGAGAAAATGGAGGTGATGAAGATAACCAACAAACAGCAACAACAACAACCGACACCAATCACCATCAACGGGAGAGATTTGACAGAGGTTACCTGCTTCACTTATCTAGGCAGGCAGCATCGTTCAAACCACAGGCGATTGGAACGGATGACGATGTCGAAGCCAACTAGCCAGCCAGAATTGGAAAACGAAGATACGCCTTCATCAAGCTGAAAGCAGTTTGGAAATGTTCTGCACTCAACATAAGGAACAAGATTTGCATTTTCAACACCAATGTCAAGTTGGTCCTCCTATACTGGTCAGAAACCTGACCAGCGTGTACCTAAAAGGATTTCCAACGGGTCACTGCAGACTTTCATCAACAGCTACCCATTTCGCTGGCTCTATATTAAAGATAACATGTCCAGAAAGAAATAATAACAAGAAACTCTCGCTCGAGTGGAATCCCAATAGGAAGCAACGAGTGGGTCGTCGGTGCGAGGGTGACATGGAGGAGCTGGTGTGTTGGGGAGGAGGAGTGGGAAGATTATGGGCAATCGTGGTCGAAGCTGAAGAGGATGGCAGAAGATAGAACAAAGTGGAGTGGAACTCATGGGAATAATAATAATAAAATTGACCTTTTTACTACATAATTATCACTGTAGATGACTAGTCTTAAGCGACGATTGAAATATAATGATAAACTGTACACTCTGATTACCAGATTGGGTGAAATGATACCTACCGTTGAACGCCAAGACGTATCTTTTTAACGGTGGTCTAAAATAAGGCCTATATCCTGAATTTCATTATTACCACCGATATTACCACCAAAGTGATATTCACACTAAACTTCATTCAAATGGATTTTATTCAATAATTGAAAATACAGAAAAAGTGCATAGCTGAAATCATTATTACTATTAGTAGTAGTAGTATAGCTTACCTTCACTAAATTTTGTATGAAAGATTTAAAAATATTTAAGTTTTCAGTATACTCCCTCCACATACTTCTAATCTTTGTGACATGATCAGGGAAACGGAATTTTTCACAGTTTTCCACTTCAATTATTAATGAATGAATAAATTGTTCTTGTGCCTTGAAAAACAAAAACAAAACAAAAAATCACGCAAATATCAAAACGATGCAGATGACAACGAAAAATAAACTTTTATCATTTTTTCATAGTAAGAGTCACTTTCCTGCCAACTTACTATTACCAAAGAAAATTATTAAACTGTTAAAACTTGGATCTCCTTTACTTTTAGACTGGTATATATGTGTGTTGGTGACACAACGATCAGGACTCTCGCCGACCATGCACATGGTCCGGAGTTCGATCTCCTGCTGACACACACCTGATATCTATGGTCGGCCTGCGAAATTGGGCTACCGATATCACATGCTGAAAATCCCATACTTGTACCAAAAATACGGTGTGGAATCAAGGTATTATATATATATATATATATATATATATATATATATATATATATTTCACAATAGTTCAAAGAATTTTGCGCAAAATTATAAACATCACTTGAAAGTGACTTAGGTATCAGTGGTGTACAATCAGTCATTATGTGTGGACAGTTGTGTTATTATTCCATGAGATTTCTGTTACGAACCGTAACACAACTTATCTGTACCGACATATACATTAAATTATGTCAGTATTACAATAATAAGTATTAATAATCATGTCATTTGTAGATAGCAGGGAAGTCAGCTGAAAGTGATGGCAGAGAATCGAGCACAGTAAGGATATGTCGTAGAAGCTCTATGTCCCATTCGGAAAGCGAGGAAAGAATATTATTATTATTATACCCTTGGGTTCCAAGTGGGACATACGGCTTCAACAACACATCTGCACTTTGACCTATCTTCTGACGTCCTCTTCACCTGCCTGCCCCCACGATTGCCCATAATCATTCATCTCCTCCTCTCCAACACACCATCTCCTCCATGCCACCCTCGCAGCGACGACCCACTCGTCACTTAGCAGACACTTTCCACTCAAGTGATGGCCTGTAATGCACGCGATGTCATTCGACGATTTCCTCATTGTATGCCCGATCAATCCATCTCCATTTTCTCCTACCTATTTGTTGAGCGATCACCTCTAGTCTAGTGTTTTTTTTCCTTGCTGGCCATTTGATCTTCAGTATGGAGCGAGTGAATGCAACTGTTGATAAAAGTTGGTAGCTGGCTGTTGGAAATCGTTTTCATGACCCTCAGTGCAAGTTTCTGACCCGTATAGATGAATAGTAATACAATTATTATTGTCTCTGTTATTAACAGCAAAATTGATGATATTTCATAGCCATCATTGTCAAGTTAATTAGAGTAGTGCCCCTCTGGACGAGGCTCATAGTCTTTCACCTGTATGTTATCCACGTTGTTAGCGTATAACACCTTCTTCGAATCCAAACAGCTAACTTCTTCTTGTCAAACAAAATGTTTCTTTGAAGATCTATCTTCAAGACGTGAGCAAAAAAATGACGATCTGGTACTATGACAACAACAACAATTGAAGTTATGAAAGTTTTGTGTACATCATGATGAGGCTGTTTAGAAATGCTCCTTGTGATTAAATTGTTCAGTAAGCGTCAGCAAAAAGTAGTTCGAATCAAACAGGCGTTTGCAATCATGTTAGTGCTAAGGCGAGCTTTGCTTTCCGAGACTAAAGAACCTGTTGGTTAAAGGTTTTGTCTGCATTATATCTTTGGTGACAGTGTGATGATATCAGACATCGAATTGAGAAAATACGCTTCCCAGACGCTAGTATTAGGCCTAAAACACCGTTAAAATACCAAGCTATTCAGTAACGGTGACGGTAAGGCGACGGGAAACGATAGAGATCTTAATTTAAATACTATTGAGCAATTTACCCCTATCAAAACCTGTTCATCAGACTCTTGCATTCCATACTGATGTTCCTGATATAGTTTTCAGTGGTGAAATCGATAAGAATTTAAGTAGAAGCCAGCATTTCTCATAAGATAAAAAATAATACAATCTATGCAGACTTTAATGAATGCGATTACCAAACATCAATGAAAAAAATTGAAAGAGGGGATCCAAACACCTGTTCAGTTTGAAGGAAGTATTACTAGTGAATAACTACCCACCAGAATTTATTCAAAAATATGTGAAGAACCGTAGAAAAACTAAGATTAGCAATAAAAATGACGAAAATAAAATAAAACTCAGTCTCCGTAGTAATGCCGTATAAAGAAGGAACGTCAGAGGCCGGCCTTACGTAGGATTCTCAATGAGACTGGAATTAGACCGGCATTTAAACCAAGCAACCAACTTACTCTCTTAGTTGCAAACTTTGTTTTTTTTTGGCTTTAGGACCCAACAGAACCAATCAAGAAGAATAATTTAATCTGCCAAATAGCATACAAATAATGACTGTTAGTGAGGTCAATTACATAGGTCATCAAACTAGTAGATCGGGGTCAACTAGATTATTAGAACACAAAAAATTTAGCTGGACACAGAATTATGATTGACCCTGCTAAGCTAAATAACCTAGAAAAACAGAGCTCAGCCATTGTATTTCATTGATTTGCATGTAATAACAAAATAGGTTGGGTGGGATAGGGTGAGAGTATTAAAAAGTAATAATAGGTGGAGAGAGACAGAGAGGTTAAACACTACAGCTTTGTTTATCTACTCAACACTGTACACGTGTAATCGGAATGACGCAACTCCTGAAGCGGGTATATGGAAAGTAGCAACAAACAACAAAGAGGAATTGGAAAGAGAGAGAGAAGGAGAGAAAATACCTATAAGACAAATTGTGAAAACGTGTGACTAAAATTGATTGCTGATTATGAGTGGTAACAACACATTATGCTCGACACGTTCTCATCCACTTGTTAGTATTGCATCATCATCATGACTGTGTAATATTTGAAATAAACTTATCTAATATGGAATTACATTTCAGAACAGTGTCCAAGGTGTACACTTACATTAATAGGTCATTCAGGCCTGTATGTAGCCTCAGTCGGTATGATGCGGTTATCCTGGATTCCACTGCTATTCACCACCAATAAACTGACTTTCATGAATGTAATTAACAGTGCGATAATGCAATTACCAAAGGTCAATAGAAAGAAATGAAAGTCGGAACCCAAACACCCATGCAGTATAATTAGTTACCACCTTTGTCCGAAAATATACATTTTTACATTTTATTACATTTTAAAACTTTTTCATTTATCTGTCATATTATTTTGTATATATTACTGAGGTGTGACATTAAAAATTCATATAAGTTACTGGAATTAACAAAATTGCGTTACATTACATTACATTACACACCAGACAACCAAAATCCGGTTCACATTTTCTATTGACCCTATTAATAATAAAATCTAACCGGTTCTAGGTGATTGTAGCAAACCTAATACAGGTTGAATATTGATTAACGAACAGAAATGCAAAAAAAGCTGCTCAAAAACGCATTTCTATTCAGTCTTCACACTAGAAAAACTAGAAGATTTGGCCAAATTCCTTGTCATAATCTCTAAGTAACAGCCTCTAAAAACGTTGCAGTATAACTGATTAGTTGTGACGGCATTGAAATGCATCCTAGTTAGACTGTTTTCTTCATAATCACTGTCTGAAAAATTATGCGATTCACTGATATATCTCAGAATGGACATTTGTGGTGTTTGTGTTGTTCTGTAATTTAAAAGAAGAGGCATTCAGCGAAGAGTTACTCCTCTTTTTCGGCGATATCATTCTCACGCTGTACAATTACATATTTATATACTAAATTATCTTAGCAACAAAAGGAATGTTTACAAAGATGTGGCATTGGAATTGTAAATTCTGGGTACACAATTTCGTTAATGGGTTAGAAACTAAAGTAAGATCAAACAAGCAAGTTGAGTGACGTAATCTAAATGACGGAGGTGAGTAGAGCTCAGTTAGAATTAAAATTGAACAAAAGTCAAATTAACAACAGTGGTGATAAGGCTACTGACTTAATAGGGGGTGGGGGGGAAGAAAACATTATACAATTAAGAAACAAACAAGCAAAAGAAAAAGACGAGACGAAAATTACGTAATTGGTGTTAAGATAGGTCAGGTCCACTGCAGATTTAAAGACTGAACAAACTTCTTTTGTATGCGGAGTTCAGGTTTTAACATGTGAATTTTCATTGCTTCTGCTGTATAAATAAGTTGGATTCGTACTCTTTTAGCGAAATTCCCGAGTGTTCTGTGGGTAACGTTGAAGTTGGTTTGAGGGTTTGCTTGGTGTCCTGATTCGATCAGGTGTTCCAGAATAGAGCTTCGTAGAGACCTTTTTCCTCCTTTATAAAACCATTGTAACGAAAGAAGACAAGGGCCAGGCAACAGATCGTTTATTGAGAAAATCAAGAGATGTTTATTGATTTTTATGTACATTAGTATTCGTCATTTTATCAGAGAAGCAACGTCTTCTGATTGGTTTTTCTTGCTAAAGGTTATATTGTACTGCTTGTGACCGTTGCTTACAAAGTTATCCACATATCCGCCTACGCTAATTCTGCTATGATCGGTTGTTGAGTTCCTCAAGGTTAGGCTTTGTCTCTGTTTTTTCTGATGACCCCTGTTCGGGACGTAAACACTGGCGTAAATTTTTGTTTACAATTTAGGCTTGCAGACAACTCTCACTACACTCTGACTGTGGGTAAGTGTTCAGGAATACGTTTGGATAGCAAACGCTGGGTATGGCCAGTAACTTAGCTAGCTCCACCCGAGCAGATGAATTCGTAGATGCACATTGATGAGGCCAGCAGTGGTATCTTATCCTTCACGTTCAAATGAATCATTGGCCTCGCAGAGAGGGTTATTCGGAGTTCAGCCACGGAGAAGGTTTTCTTCGATGATTGGGATAGGCGGTTTCTCAGTAACTCTGCCGATGAGTCTCCATTGAATTGTGGATTCAGGTAGAGAAGTTTTTAGGAAGCAGAAGGTGTGAGTGGTTTTGGTGGTTTAGGTTCCATAGATTTTGTGATAACACGCTCTGGATAGCCATTTTCGAGGAGGATTCTCTTCAGAGTGTTTAGCTCCTCTTCCATAATATCACGGCTGCA